GTCACTAATTTTGAGCTGCTGACAAGATGGAAGGCAACTGGCTGACAGCACCTGCCATCAATTTTTTGTTTTTTTGGTTGTAAGTGCTATGGTTTGAGTAACACTGTACTAATCAGTTAATCAAATGTTTATTTTCTTAACTGGTTTTCTACTTTCTCTACTTGAGGGTCTTTTAATGTTTTTCATTCCATTGTTTTGTTATTTCTTTTTATTAAAGATTTTACAGTTTTTGTAATACATATCTGTTCTACCCTAAATGAGAAATTTATTTCATTGGATAAATTTAATAATGTTCTGTTACTTAATGTCCAATTAACCTCCAGTTGTTCCCTTTATACAGATCTCAAAGCACCCTATGCACACAGGTGGAATCAAAGTGCACACTCCACAACCTTTTATAAAATACTATTCAACATATTATATATTTGAAATCTGAGTTATAAATTTGTAATTTTACCATAAATTAGCAATTTAGAGTATATACCAGATACAATATACAGGGATAATGGAAAAAAACTGTTGATATCCGTTTCAGAGATTCTAAACATTATGCAAATACAATATGAAAACTGTACAATATACAATAGTATTCTTATTCTTTACATGAACATCACCTTGCACTGTCAGTCAGACTGACATCATTAATTCACAGACGTATCTTGATAAACACTTTTGTAACACATCCAACTTTTGAATACAACAGACTTGTACTGTTGTTCCTCCAGAAATATATGTATGCAATGCCATGAGTACATTGAGCAATAAGAACTGACAATACAGCTACGATTTTACCCTGAACACTCAGCATAAGCAAGGCCTCCAGCAATGCCATGAATACATTGAGCAATAAGAGCTGACAATACAGCTACAATTTTACCCTGAACACTCAGCATAAGCAAGGCCTCCATCAAAGTTATACAAATTCTCATAGTGGGGGAAATAGTTAAATTAAAAAGAACACTGTAACAAAATTAATAGCAAGACTGTCAACAAGAAAATCTAAATTATATTGGAATCCCGAGCTTCTGTAAGATCCCTTGATCATTTCCAGAGCAAGTCTACCTGATTTGAATTTCTGAATTCCAAAACATTACGAGGGAGAAACTAACATGCATATAACAAAATGTAAATGACATTACACATCATACACAAAACCTGGATCATGTAGAAGGTTAGAAAATTAAGGTCAACTATCAAAAGATTATGTTTAAATTGAGAGATAGAATGAAAGATTTATAAACTATAAGAAAATTAGGTATTTAGTTAGAAATAAGAAAATTCAAAGGGAATTATGAAGAATAGCTGGCTCATAATGTTTAAAGTAATAGCAAGGATTGTTTTAAATATGTTAAAGCTAAGCAAAATTTGAAATGGGGTTGGGTCCTTAAATGGCCAAGGTTTTGTTGAAGACTGTGAGATGACTGAGCATTTACATATTATATTCTGCTTTTGTAAATAAAGATATTAGTAATATTCATGACCCTGAGCTATTTAAAATATTGTAACTGACCTTAATCATGTAGATATTAATCCCTTGGTTGTAAGAAGAAAGACTGAGAGATGCACTTAGGCTTCCAAAATACCACTGATAAGATGCCACACAAACAATAACTAAGAAAATCATATTAGTAGTGATTAGAGGAAATTTAAGGTAAAATTGGATGAATTATATGCTAGATACAGGCTCCACTTAAGCAGGTCAGATAGTAGGAATGATATTCATTTAAGTAAGTTAACCTAAACTTGTTAGGTAGCAGTTTCCATTTTTGTTTTATTTTTCCTTCTATCGTATGGTCTACTTATATTTTCCTTAAACACTAGCTCACCTGTCTCCTAGAGTATATTGAATATTAAACAAGTAATTTCTATATAAAGACACCAACACAAGGTTCTCTTAGTGGTGATGTATGGATAATAAGTTCATGATTAAAACAAATGTAAAATAGTAATTTATGTGATATGTAATCTTGAAGTCTGGCAAGGAAGAAAAACCTTAAGATTTGATGTCAGACTGAGGAGAGAAATGGGTATTAGGTTAGTTATCTTTTGATATTACGATATTTGATTTAATAAAAAATATTATTGCAAGTATTATCTTGATCTTTATTTGTGACTTAATAATACTCTGAATAATCTCACAATACAGAATTTTCTGTTTGTTTTCCAAGTAATTATTACTATCATCATTTTGTGATTTTGATAATAATAATATTACTTGTTTGTATTTTTTCAATATTGGTGTTTCCACTTGAAGATTAACTTTTTCTGAAGTCCTGGCCAACCACTCCTATATTAGTATTTACTATTTTATAAACCTTCTTTTTTTTGTATAAGAAATCTCTAATTTTTCATACCCTGGTAGTAACATCATTATATAATACATTTGCAGAGAGCTGGGGGAGCTTGCAAAAATGAGAATAAACAAATTAATAACATAGCTAAGGCAGCATGAAGATTAGAAAAAAAAGAGGTTTATAGCATAATAAGTTAATAGTTTTTAAAGATAAGATTCAAAGATAACCTTTACTGCTATTATTCTAATGTTAAGAGTATTATGAATAAAACTGATAAATACATGGTTCTAATGGAAAACTATGATATAATGGGACTTACGGAAACTTGTTAGATTTGGAAAATACTCATAATAGGAATGATTTTGAATACTGAGAAAAATAATTTTGTTATCCTACATGTAGAGATAAAGAGAAACAAGATTTTAGTTCCTAATATCAGAATGCCAATTCTGAGGCTACGAGTCAAAATTTATAATTAGTAAAAGGGGATAATAAGTTAATACTTGATACAAGATAGATTTTGGATTTTTTTAAAAATACGTTGTTGTTTTTCTTTCACAACAGAGGTGTTCCTGATAAGAGGAAAATAATCCTAACTGGCTTATTAAAGTTATAAAAGAGAAAACAAGGGATAAAAATTTAAATTTAAGATGTTTACATTGATAGATATGTTGGTTAATTCACAGAACTATAGGAAAGCCATGGATTTAGTTAAAGAAAGAAATTACGTACTACAGAAAGGCTTGGAACAATTGGAAAGTTATACAAATATTTGGAAAATGATGTTTGATGATGGTAATTAACAAAATACATTTTAGTTATCATCATTTGGATCATGCTTTTAATACTAAAGAAATGCCACTCAAAAGTGTGAATGAAAAACTGGATCTTGGCATAGTGGAAACAACTTACATGTAAGCTCTGCCTTATGGTACTTTGGAAACAACTTGCATGTAAGCTCTGCCTTATGGTACTTTGGTAAGAAAGAAGAAGAATGGATATTCTCTCCCATGTAAATAAAAAATGAATACTCACTTATAATCTCAAGGTTTAAGTGCTTCAGCCCTCAACAATAATTTCATAGCCAGTTTTAACATATATGTTCAATTTAAGCAGCACTGGTAGTGTAACAAACATGATATTACTGACATCATAACATAATGTTTTGGGAAAACATAGGAACTTTTGGTCCATCTCAGCTATTCCACCCACTAAACTAAATTAAAACTATTAATAAATTATGTTTTTTTAATCTTAAAGTCAGCCGTTATTCATATACTTATCAAGCTTTTTCTTAAACTCACTTAAATTTACTGCTTACACAACATTCAAAGGCAACCACCCAGTTACAAAAATAAAATAAAATGTATATTTGTGTCCCCTAGGGCTACTATTCTCACTATTAAGTAAGAAAAAAGATGATGCATCAACACTATCAATTCCCTTTACAATTTTAAACACCCCCCTAACTCTTCCATTTTCAAGAGAAAACAATTTAAGAGATCTTAACCTCTACAGTATTACAACACCTCCATCCCAGGCACCATTCTAGTAACCCTTGTCTGAACTCAAATTCAATGTCTTTCTTAAGGTAAGGAGCCCAAGACTGAATACAATATTCCAAATATGGCCTAACCAGTAACCTATACAATGAAATTATTACCTCTTTAGACTTGTATTCAATATTTCAGTAGATACAACCTAAAATCCTATTTGCCCTACCATTAGCAACAGCACACTGCTTGGATGGCTTTAGAGACTGATCAACTATTACACCACGATCCCTTTCTTTCATAACACTGTTAAGGTTATTCCTATCCAAATTATACTCATAATTCAAATTATGATACCCCACATGCATTATCTTACATTTATTATAATTAAAACCCATTTGCCATTTATTTGCCCAACTCACTAAATGATCTAAATCTTTTTGTAAATCAGCAGCATCCTCTTCACAGCTAGCAACACACAAGACCTTAATATCATCCACAAATTTAAATAATTTATTGACTATCCTTTCATGACAAGTGTCTTATTTTTAAAAAGTGCCTATTATGATATTTGGACTAGACAAGGCTTAACATTTCTACAATACATACGAAACAAATGACTCAAGGGTAGGCTTGGATGCCAGTATTGGTTGGCCAGCAATCTACTAGAAAACTGATTTTTTCTCTTAATTCTATTTAATTAAACTGGGCTTAACTGGTTCCACAATTTCCCTTTAATGGCTTATAGTTATACTTATAGTTATAACATGGCACAGATGTAGCGTGTATGAAAGATAAATGGATAGTTACATTACTTTTTAAAACTATTTTTGCATGAATTAGTTTCAGTTAATGTAATTTTGTAGTCATATAGGTTTATACTAAGAGTAAGACACGTAATAAGCGTAGACATTGAACTGTAGTACCAGTTCAGTGCAATTTTTAACAGTAGTATTAAAAATTTTACTGTACTGTCAATAGTACCTCTTGCACAAGTAACAGTAAGATTAAATTTAAAATTAAAGAGAAACAACTAATTTTCTACAACGAGTAAACTGTAAAGTACATTTCGTCATTATAATTTAACTTACGTTAGGAGCACTGAATCAGAAACAACAGGAAAATGTTATGTGATGTATATCATGTTACCTTAGTATTTGATTTTTCTTTCACTTACCAACATCTTGGTCAAATGGAGTTGTATTGCTTAGAAACGGCATTAGCAATTCTTTTTTAAAGAAACTACTTAAACTTCAATATTTCTCAACTGCACTATCAGGTGACGACAAAACTTAAGAACAGTAACAAATTATATTACCTCTGACGTAGTATCCGGTTTGTTATTGCGCCCTCTTTTTCTGATTGTTTTTTGTGCGTGTTGACAACTCTAACCTGAGAATTTTTTGGAATCGAGATATCCTAAACAGAAGTTAAGTTATTATGTGCAATAATAAAATTATTAAAGGCAACATTTCATTCGGGTTATGCACAACGTCCTGAAGCGACATACAGCAATAAACATACACACACATTCTTATAAAAACTTCCATAACAGAAATTGTTAAAAACTGACATTTAGATCTGAACTTGTCCGCTAAGCAGACCGGTTTATTAAATTTGCATTTTCAAGAGCAAAGTAAAACAGTTGCAGGCAAACAGTTATTGCTTTGGAGTTACAATGTATCAATAACGAATTTGAAGGACCTTACCAAAAAATACTCAATCATCTATAATATCTATATGATAACTTAAAATTGAATAACAGCTAAAATGAGATAGAAAAAATGCATCATTTAAAAACAACGTTTCGCCACTGTTAACCTGGCTTCCTCAGGTACCTGATGATACCATGATAACAGAGGCGAAACGTTATCGTTTAAATGATGCATTTTTTCTATCCCATTTTAGCTGTTTTTTGAATTATAAATTTTGTAGAATGTGTGATACCTCCAACATTTACAGTATATCTATATGATAAGTTTGCTTTCTACACATCTCTGTTCAGTTTACATTTTATGTTTAAAAATTATGACCTTTATCGTTACCTTTTAGCTTGTTCAAACCATTTATGTTGCAGGTTTAAAACATTGATTAGAAATTACTCCTTTTAAGTTTTTTCTTTTGGCAATTATACGTATTCCAATATGACTAATATCTGTTTTGAATATATTGCGGTATTCTCGATTAAAACCGATTTCCCAAAAGACTAAATTACGTAGATCCGTTACATAATTGTAGATATAGCAAGATATATTGCAGTACTAGTTTTGCAAAAACAAAGTTCGTGCTAACAAGTATATGGACTGGACACCAAGAGTAATACACAATGAAATAATATTTATTTATATAACACAAATCAACAATATGTTTACAGCACCTTTGAACGACAGACAATCGCCTTTACAGGAGTTGTGAATAGATCATACTTGCTATGCTTCTTACAATCTTGATTTTTCACTGATCGACTCACTCAAGGGGATGTTCCAGACTGACAACATTTCATGTTAATTAGTAGAATCGGTAACGTCAGACTTACCCAGGGTAACTAGCACAACTCATGTGACTGTTCATTTCCAACATAAAGGAGGTTGTTACCTCAAAATTTCACCTGACCTACCAATGGAGGACACTGCTGCTGCTTTTTCTGCATAAAGTGCAGCTTTACAGCTATATCCACCCTAGGTAGACCAGGTGTTATCTCCAAAAATGACAAAGAACGAAAGAAATCAACTAAATAACTTTCTTGACCATATGTTACGTGAAAACTGCGCGTGTGATATATTCAGGTAAATGGAGTTAACCTATGAGCTGTTCAATAGGTCTGCTTAATAATTGGAGATTCAATTAAGAAAGTTATTGTGAAGTAATGATACGTCTCTTACAAACTGAGTCGTGATGTCAATATAATGAGACAAAACAAAGTGAAAAATTAAAAAATCTTTATAATCATACTAAACATGAACATGGTATGTGTACTTGCTTTTCCTTCTACACTCCCTTTTACCGGATTTTTGCAGCTGAATCTCCATCAAGAATCCTGTTCCAGACTGTTTAAATTCATCATTCTTTAGTTTGCAAAAAAAAAAAAAAAAAAAAAAAACGTTAAGCATCTACACCTAGTGACTAGAATTATTCACGTGACTGGTCATTTTCATTACAACATAGGTGAGGCTGTGGTCATTAACCTGTAGACATCACGTAAACGGTCATTGAAAGAAACTACTGTCAACGACTTTTTACAGAGTGCAGTATTGTAGAAATATCCTCCACAGGCAGAACAGGTATTAACTACTCGAAACAAATGAACAAAGTAATCTAGGGCAAAAACAACTTAACGGCTTTCTTGACGACATGTTATGTGAAACTTGTAAATATACAGAACAAAGAACAAATTCGAAATAATTACTATAATATTATAAGAAGACAGAAATACGTTGTGTATTCCTATACCACATACATAACTGAATAACGATAAAATCTGAAACATTCTGCATGAAATAAAAAGGTAGAAAATGAATGGCATGCTTACTTTCCACAATTTTAAGCAATTTTTTCTCGTATAATATTTGCAAAAAAAAGAAAAAAAGGAAATTGTAGAATGTTGCTTTTCTACTATTGCATTGTTAATGGGATTTCTATGACAAATGAAGTTTGCTCTGGAATTTTATTACTGTATGGAACTTGGGAAGTATCTAATTTCTTTCTCTTTCTTAATATAGAAAGGTAAACTGCTTTCAGACATGAACAAGTTTAAAGTGGCTACAAGCCTCCAGATGTAATAAATCATCCTGTGCAGTACTAATCTTATTTTTGTCTACTAGTTACACACAATTAAGGCAAATGTCCCACTTAGGTATTTTCAGACGTTTCTCATGAATGATGTTAATGGAGATTAGGGTTTAGTAGGAAAGAAAGCTGATCAAAACTGCAAAACTGGTTCTTACACACAGGAGTTATCTTAAGTTAGCCGATATCAATTCTTATTTCTGAATATTAGAAACCACTGATGTTTGATCTGTATCTCATTGTGGACGTTCTTCCAGTTGCAATTTTAGTTCTAGAATGGTACAATTTTCAAATCTTCGCCATGTGGGTGTTACTTACTACCTAAAGAAGTACTCTCAAAGCTTGCATTTTTGTGATTTTAACTGCACCTTGTACTAAAACAATGTTAAGAAAATATTCAGAAAAATGTGTGCTTACAAAATATTTAAATCCGAATTACTGAAGATATTTCATCACAGTTAAATAAAATATTGGGTACACCAAGTTTACATTTTTTATGATATGTAAGCTATTGTCTGTGAATTTTATTTACTACTGATAAGTTCACCCATTCATGAATATTTCATTTTAATGTATTTGAAGTGTCTTGCACTACTCTTAACGCAAAACACCAAGTAAAAATGTAATTTCTTTCAGATGTAGTATGAATTTATTTGTTAATCTTACCCTGCCATAAAAATTTACTACCATCCGAATATTTATATGTCAAAATTGAAATATTCTTTAACCACTATAAATGAAAATAACAGGTGTACTGTATTTAAAAAAACTTCCCGGGGTCAACAATCAGTTAGCTTCTTATCGTTGTTTTACCGTCCATATTAAATCCATTGTTTCTATCCATGTTGCTTAACCATTATATTATTTGTGTAGTTGGTCAATTCGTGTTTTACAACGCTCATGAAAGAGTTTATGTAATGTTTATATACACGTGTAAGATCGCACACACAAGTATTTATTTATACACATATACTGCTATATACGTGTATCACTATTACATTTGTCACATACCTTTGTACACTTTATCACATTATCTCCACTTATTTTCCAAAACCACGAACTGGTAGCTGCAATGAATAAAAAGTCTGCTATTACGAGCAGTCGAACGCAATTTATTTTCCTTTTAGGCATCATGAAATAATTATTCACTGTCAGAACTGGGCTGTAATAAGACTTTTCAGCTAAAACGATCATCATCTAAGATTAACATTCATAATAAATAAATTTAGTATTCCGAAAATTGTGAAGAACTGAATAGTGGCCAACGACACTTTATTCTTCACTTCACATATCCAAGCCCCCCCCCCCCCAGTGGCACAGCGGTATGTCTGCGGACTTATACTACTAGAAACCGGGTTTCGATACCCGTGGTGGGCAGAGCACAGATAGCCCTTTGTGTAGCTTTGAGCTTAATAATAAAAAACAACAACAAACAACAACATTTATCCAGTGTATTGGTTTTTCTCATTGTGACTACAAAGCACGTTCACACCAACAGTATTTTATTAACATTTATGTTGTACTACTCTATATCAACATAAACTCAGAGGAAACACAAATTCTTCATTGCTTATAGCATCACAATACGTGCTCCAAGCATACGGGGGAGAATCTCAAGGACCATGTTGTATGCTCTGTAGAGTTCACTCCACTCAGCTAGATCAGGTGAATAACTCTCTCTCAAACGTCAGGCAACATTTTGCTTTAGAAAATTTACTCAGTAGCTGGGAAAGCAAGGGTCATAACACTTTTTCATTCAATGATTTTTCAACCACATGAGTATGAAGTAAAGCAAATGGAAATCACAGAATTCAGTGCTTATATTATACCATGAAATTCCACCTGATAGCTCAGAAAACATAGGTCACAATACCCTTTCAGCTGAGTTTCCAACTCTTGACTGTCTTCCTCAATCGAAGAAACTGTCGATATGCTAGTCTTTTTGTTTGTTTGTAGTTGAGCACTAAGCTACATAATGAGTTATCTGTGCTTTGTCCATCACAGGTATCAAAAACCAGTTTTTAGCATTATATGCCTTCAGGCTTACTGCTGAGCCACTGGTGCTACATGCTAGGCACTGTATCTACTAACACATCTAATGGTAATAATCTAACAACTATCATCCAATATATGGTGAATATCTCTTGTAACAAAATTATTAGATAGCTTGGAAAGTAAGGGTTGCTAAGCCATTTCGGTCCATTAATCGTATGACCAACAAAGCATCATAATTTCTGGAGTTGACCAATTCCAGCCATATCAGTCAGGAGGCCAGTGGTAGGTTTCTGTTAACTACCTGGGTTGTCTTTCATCTCCATTGTTTCCTCGAGTGGGTCGTCATGGGCAGCCAGAGAAGTACATTCATATCTTACCTCATCATGAAGTGAATCAACACAACTTGAGATGGCATTTTCGTCATTCTCTGACTCACTTACGTAGCAGAGGGAATAGCAGTACAAGTGGTGTTCTGTGGTTTATTATAGACGATGTCTTGTGCATCAGTGCTGTGTAACATGGTTATAGAAGTTAGACATGAAATAAACAGTTTCCTCTCCAGAAAGCAGGCATTAGTTATTTGTCCAACAAGGAAAGAAGTTCCTGTACTGTTTGTAATTATGGGTAACTAGCTATCCAGCTGTATGCTGGAATGGTAAGTGAAGTAGAAGTAGCCAATGCTATCAGTAATTCTAAGGCTACACCCATTGCACCGTAAGTACATGACTATCAACATACCTGATGTCGTTAGTTGAGGATTGTGTAGCCTATACACGATAAAGCAGAAGCAACTTAGTGACTTATTGGTTGAATATATAGATGTATTTATAGAAACAGATGGTCTATTGGGCCAAATAATGGTGACTCCCCACAACATAGATATAGCCAATGCATGTATGATAAAGCAACTGTCATGTTGGCTTCCCTGAAACATCACCAGTGCTGAAACATAGTGGATGTTGAAGGATGGAGTCACACAACTTTCACTGCTTAGTTAGGAAAAAGGGTGGTGTGCCACATTTTTCTGTTGATTTTAGATGGGCAAACATATTAACTCGCAGTGACAGTCTTTCTACAAAGAGATAAATACCGTATTTGACAGTGTATAAGATGATCCCATGTATAAGACGACCTTGGATTTGTTTTAGCAAATCAAGTGTATCTCTTTCAGGTTCGGTGTATAGGATGACTTCTATTGTCAAGCAAATCTAGGATGTTAATTTTGTAAAGAAATTCATAGAAGTTATTTTTAAAATGTGCTAACCTGCGCTCTGGCGTAATCAATATACAACCACAAGTGTGTTTTTTAATGCTCTTCAAATGCCAGAGACAGCTCAGTGTAGCATAACGTAAGTCACAAACGTGTAATAAACAACTTTAGAAAGTTTTTATCACAGTTGAACTCCTTTTCAATAAAAAAAAGCTAAACCATATAGTGGCCTACTATAAAAACGTTTACAAAACTGATGTACGTTACAGAAACTAACTTTTTTGATATAATATTACCAATAGTTTAGTATGACAGATGAGAACAGTACATTTCAAATCACAAAGGTCTCGATTAATTTGAATTGGCATGTAAGATAAATAAATTCTAGTTATGAAAAATCGAAACAAACGTTACAATTCCAAATATATCATTGTAACGCAGAAGGTGGCACGATGTCAACTCACTTACCCGCAAAAGCAAACAAAAGTAAAATGAACAACATAGTTTGGGTTAAATGTGCTATTAACTAAAGAGTTCTTACTGGAACTCTATTTTTGAACCTATGTATTATACGAGGGGTAAGATCAAGCATTGATTCAAGAGTAAAAAGTATCGTTTTATACACCATCAAATATGGTATCAGGAAATATTTGAATATTCCTATTGGTTCAACACTTTGGATCTGATATCTGTATACTAGAAAGTTGAGCTGGACGACAACAGCAGGCCTACAGTCCTTTCAGCGTGAGAAATGGCTTATATAAATTCCACATCATACCATTTGATCTGTGAAATGTACTTTCCACTTTTGAGAGGCTAATAGAACATACATTGAAGGGAATAGAACGGGAGAGATGCCTGGTCTACATAGACAGTATTTTTGGTGTTTGGTCATATGTTTGAGTGTGCAGTTGAGAATGATATTCCATCAAATAAATAAAACAAGCTTGAAATTAAAACCTGGAAAGTGTTTGCTCAAGTGCATAGAAGTAGTTTCTCAGTCATATTTTTTGGGGAAAGATGGAGTCTCTACTGAAACAGCTAAAATAGCTTTGGTGAGAGATTGATCTCAACCTATAATCTTTCGTGTCACATTAACAATTTGTGGCCAACTTCTCCAAGACAGCAGCACTATCGCTTTAGTGGATGATCCAGTGATGACCACGACAAGAGAGCAACTAGTGGACACGTTGGCACAGTGTATTGTCAGAGAATGAGATAGCTTGGTTGGGATCACTGGAAGAAATTCGCATGTATCAAGAAGCCAATTTTAACAACCAACTGGTAGCAGTACAAAGCAGTCTAATGATCTAATAGGGTAGATGGTCTAAAAATACCCCCCCCCCAAAAAAAAAACTGGTAGCATCTACCCGCACATTGCCTTGATAGTGGTGCACATGAAAAAATCCATTCCATACATGGATTGACAAAATTAGAGGGTACATTGGTTAGGTGTAGTCTGGCAGTTTGGTGGAATGAGTAATACAGACTACCAAAAGGATACTTGTGAAGTTTAATTCTGGCTAAATCGACTAGGATGAGCACTTGTCATATGTGACGATGTCATACAGAGCTCATGCTCAGATAGGAAATACTACTCCTCCACAGGAATACGTTGAGTGGTTAAGGTCTGCAACAGTCGACATGCACGAGTTCACCTAACAACTGGGAAATGTGCTTGGAGACAGAGAAAATGGTATGATAGGGCATTAGATAAACAGATGTTCCAGTGTAGTGATAGGGTCTGGTTGTGATACATGGATCCAGCTGGACTTGTCTGTACATGATACTCCAGAAAATTGGTCCAATGATGTCAAAGTTACAGCTAAGTATGATAAGCTGTGTTCATACATCACAGACAAACCTCTGGAATACTTGCTTGACCAAGAGTATGACAATGAGATCAAGTCATAGGAGGATGCTGTTTCCTGTCATACCACCAGATATCAGATGATAGCTGCTTGAATAACAGTTGAGACAGATGTTTAGTTGAGAAACCAACTACTGAAAAGGCACAAGTTACAGGGTGGTATTGTAAGATACAATGCAGGTACTAAACTGAAGGACTACCACTCGCTTTAAAATAGCTTGGACAATTATTTGGTTAGGAAACCAATAATTGAAAGGATTTTTGACCCTTATTTTCTAAGCTGTCAGATAATGTGTGCCAGCAGAATGTATGGACTACATTTTATGGCTACTACTCGTTCATTTGATTGAAAAACCAGTGACTGAATGGGTGTTGTTGGTTTTTCTTTCCAAGCTATCGAATGAATTTTCTGATGTGAAATGTTTTCCATTTCAAGATTCCATAATCTTGCTGGGTTGTGAGAACTCTAGAGAGCATGCCATCCTGGTTTCACTAGAATTTTATCTATATACCTGGGAAGGTATTCTGGTTATACATGCCGCATGAGAGTCTTTTAGTGTATATTGAAATACTGTAGTCAAAGCACGAATTTTGATCTTGGCTGAACAGACTTTAGTTAAACAGTCTTAGTATATCTGAATGTTTCTAGAAATTCTTTCCT